TAAAATTGTGCTCAGTTGTAAACATTTTTTTGCCCTATTTACCCATTTATAAAGCCAGTTTTATCATGACCAAATAATAAAAAGTTGAATGTCAGATGAGGTATCTTACTAGGAGTTGGAGATGGATCAGCAAATACCCTACACTAATATCACCACTCTCTTCTCCTATGGTAAACATCACTTATCATAAAACAGTACTGTTTGCCACTGTGCTTGGAGAAGGCCTTTGGATTCTTTTAAAAACACTGTTCCACATAGTCACTACCAATCAACGGTCTGTGGCTTCTAAGGTAACATCCATTTCCCAACCCTGACTTAGAAATTCATGAGGAAAGGTTGATTATAATTAGAAATCAGTGGGGTTTTTAATATGCTACATTTAGCAAAAATAACACTTAGGTAAGCAGTCGTTAGAACAGAACAAGGGGATACTGCGTGTTTTTAAACTGGAAAAAGGTGTAAAGGTAAAAGACTACAGACTTCAGTATGGATTATACCTGAACATAAAGAAAACATAAATACTTACAACTGGACCAATAACATGATAAATGGCAAAGAAATTGAAGTTGTCAAGGATTTCATTCTACTTGGATCAGCAATCAATGCCCATGGGAGAAGCAATCAAGCAATCAAGCAATTTATTGCACTGGGCATATCTGCTGCAAAAGACCTCTTTCAAGTGTTAAAAAGCAAAGATGCCACTTCGATGACTAAGGTGCGCCTGACCCAAGCCATGGTATTTTCAATCACCTCATATGCATGAGAAAGCTGAACAATGAAAAAGGAAGACCAAAGAAGAATTGACGAAATTGAATTGAGATGTTGTGGAAAGTTGAATATAACACGGACTGCCAGAAGAACGAATAAATCTGACTTGAAAGAAGTACAGCCAGAATGCTCCTTAGAAGTGAGAATGGCAAGACTTCGTCACGCTTACTTTGGACATGTCATCAGGAGGGACCAACTGTTGGAGAAAGACATCATAGTTGGTAAAGTGGAGGGTCAGTGAAAAACAGGGAGACCCTCAATAAGATGCACTGACACAGTGGCTACAACAATGGGCTCAAACAAAGCAACAATTGTGAGGGCGGCACAGGACTGGGCAACGTTCTCAGCTGTTACATACAGAGTCGCCATGAGTCAGACGACACCTAACAGCAACAAACAGACTTGTAAAAGTTTTGAAAACTACCAACTATCATTTGTTGGTTGTTGTTAGGTTCTGACTCATAGCGATCCTATGTACAACAGAACGAAACACTGCCTGGTCCTTCACCATCCTCACAATCATTTAGTCATTTAGAGTAAAGTAAAACAACCCTTTATTGTCCCCCCTCCCATTGCTGTCGAGTTGATTCCTACTCATAGCGACCGTATAGGACAGAGTAGAACTGCCCCATAGGGTTTTCAATGTGGTGGATTACGAACTGCTGACCTTTGGGTTAGCAGCCAAGCTCTTAACCACTGTGCTACCAGGGCTCCATTGCTGCTCCCCATCCCCCCGCCCCACTTCTATGCAATTCCCATTGGTAACCATTGTTAAATATTTAGAGTAATTCTTTCTAGAATTTTTCAATCCATCATATTTCCTCAAGTCTAAATACTTCGGTTGTAATAAGAAATTTAACAATAGCTTTTCTGAAGAAGAAAAAAAACAGTACCATATGAATGTAATCATAAATTATAAGACTGCCAAATTTTAGTCATTAAAACTTGAAAAATGTGTGTCATATATATGTATTTTACATAAGCAAAACATTGAAACTCACACTCATTTCTCTTATAAGTAGTTTTTAATCAAGGGTTAAATAACACAAACGTATCTACAACCTACTTTTGCAGATGTTGCCAGGCATCTAATATATTTTTTCAAATTTATAGGTGACTCTGATGTGCCCTTTCTGTGTAGACTTATTGCCACAGAGTATCTTTTTTTAGTCTAAGAAAATCTTTAATTGAAACTTTTCTATTACAATATTTTAAATTTTAATGTTTTCTAAGGAAAAGCACTAATACCTTTTCTAAGGCTTCCTCTACGATTCTAAAGGCACTTCATCCAATAAGGAGTATATTATTTCAGTTGATATACAAGTAGATTATAACAATACCCTGACAAATTGAAATCAGTGATTTTCTATGATTAACTGCAGATATCGATTAGAGTTGAAAACAAGCTCCCACTCCATCTCCAAACACTCATGTGTTTTCCTGCTAAAAATAGAAATGAATATTAATTTTTAATACCCTGGAGAAGGCCAAGAAATGTTTATAAACTACAGAAATCATGGAGATCAGAAATGGATAACACTGCATCATCAGAACAAAATGTAGACTAGCTAATGTACTCATTTTTGTTCTGAAGAAATGAATATGAACACTGACCCTAACTAAAAAAGAAGGCATGCATACAGCAGATAAACATATGAAAAAGTCCTAGCTTATCAGTGCCTTAAAGTATACAAATTAAAATCAGATTCGATTTTTTGTCCATTGGATTATTACCTTTTATACTGACCTGAGGCACAAGAAACTCTCGAAAAGCAGAAACAAACTAAAAACTTCATTAGTAGATAAGCTGACAATAAATGTGCAGGTCACACAAGCAACACGAATGCCACGGGGACGAGTCAACAGAAACAAAGAAAATAGATCAAAATAGTCTAAAATTAATTAAAGAGATTAAAGAATGAGTAAAAAACACACTGGGGGAAAAAAACACTATGGAAGGTGGGAGGAGCCCTACTGGCACAGTGGTTAAGAGTTCAGCTGCGCACCCAAAGGTCGTCAGTTTGAATCCACTAGCCACTCCTTGGAAACCTTATGGGGCAGTTCTACTCTGTTGCATAGGGTCACTATGAGTCAGAATAGGGTTTTGGGTTTTGGTATGTAAGAGGGGAAAAAAAGACTGATTTGAAAAAGAACCAAATTAAACTTCTGGAAATGAAAAGTAAAATCTTTGAAATTTAAAACCCAATTGGTAGTTTAAACAGCAGTAGTGACAGTTCTGTTCAGAGTTCCGAAGAAAGAATTAGTGAACGGAAAAACATCTGTGGAAAATATCTAAAATGTCGCAGAGAGATAAAAAGATGGAAAATAAGAAAGAATGATTAAGCAAGAAGAAGAAGAGGATGAGATGGTCAAATTTATGTATGGAAATTCCAGAAAGGATATTATGGAAATGAGGGAGAGGCACTATCCAAACAGATAATGGTTAAGAATTTTACAAAATTCATGAAGACATTAATTCTAATATTGGGGAATCCCAAGAAATTATAAGCAAGATAAATGAAAAGTAATTCACATCTATACATATTATAGTGAAATGAAGACCTCCAAATGAATGGAGTGAAAAAAAATCATTATCTACAATGGAATGAATATTATAAAGACATCAGCAACAATAGATGCCATGGGATAACAGAATAACATCTTCACACTGCCAAAGAAAAGTAATAGTCAATTTCTAATTCTATACCCAGATACACTATCGTTAGAAAAGAAGGCAAAATTCAGAGCGCTCAAGAATGAAAACTTAGACATATTTATACCAAAATATTATTTCTGGGTACATTAAGTACAGATTATTTTTATTTCTTCTTCGTACTTGTCTATATTTTCCAAGGTTTCTATAATGAACCAATGTTGCTTTTCACATTTAGCATTTTAACATCTAACAATTAACATTTAAACAATTAAAACATATACATATTTGTTAAGAAAAATGAAAAGGAATAACTTCATAATCATTTTCTCTACTTTAGCCACAAAAAAATCTGTTTTTCTTGATGTGTCACATCTCAGATCTCATTAAAATAAATATCATTCATTCAAAGACTCCCACTCCTTTTCAATACAATTTGTGAGAAAAAAAATCACAATTTAAGAAGTGGGACACAGCTTCTTGAAATTCAACTGTAATGGAATTTAAAAAATTAATTAGCAAAATGTTATGAAACCAACAAAGTATAGAACTTTAAATTTGACGTGTCTGCTCTGACTTTCACTAATGGTTTGTTCTTCCAGAATGGGTGTATCAATGTAGCATTCAGAGAAATGTAGCCCAGTAACCCAGAGCAGCAACCTGTTGGGATTCTATTCTCAATTAGTCTCAGCTTGTTTTGGAAATTACCTCCTTCAATCACCTTCATTTTCAATTTCTGGCATTTGCTCACTAACATCTTGATTATTTTTTATTAACATATCTGGTATTAATTATAAGCTAAGTGTTGTTGCTGAATCTTGCCTTCCAAAACAGTACTCCATATGCAAAGCAATATTTGAAAATAAAATCAGTAAGAAATAATCACACCATAATTATACTTCACAAGTATTATTTTAACAGTGCACAGATTCTTTTTTATTTTATTATGTGTGGTAGTAAGCAAAATTATTTAAAATCAGTAAGTTTTTACTTAAGAAATGTTACATGTTCCACCATCCATCAAGGACATCCTTAGTTCCTTCAAAGCTTGAGTCAAGATCATCTTCAAGATTGCTCTTTTTAAAAGAACCCATGCTTAATCCACAGATGCTTTGTCAGTCAGTCTTATCACAATTCTCTTTTGGTTGGGTTTTTTTTTTTATCTCCAATTAAACATGGATATACTTCAAAAATTTCCCACCTAGAATTCTTGGGATCTAATTTCTTCAAATTATTCACTTTAGGACCCTGGAAGTTGAATTGTAAAACATACATTGATATTTTGGCAAATATTTAAAAATAAATTAGTCCTGTTGGTGCGTCGAGTTCAATTTGACTCATAGCAACCCCATGTGACAGAGTAGAACTACGCCATAGGGTCGTCTAAGCTGTTATCTTTGCGAGAGCAGATCGCCAGATCATTCTCCCTTGGAGCCTCTGCGTGGATTCAAACCAGTAACCTTTCAGTTAGCAGCCAAGTGCTCAACTGTTGCACCATCAGGGCTCCTTAATTAGTCCTAGTGCTTTTAATTTTGAAAGGTCTCATTACATCCAATATTCACTCATGACCTTGGCAAAAAACTGTTAGCGGTCTCATTGATACCACTGCAGTAAATTCACTGTATCTCAGTTTATCCACATTAACAATTTCTAGTCATCATGATCAACTATGTCCATTTTCATCTAGAATGAGGCTACTTCACAAGCATTTTTAAAAAGTAAAACTACCATAGGTAAAGTCTAAAAAGTAATGCTCTTCATTATATTCATTCAAGTATCTCCTTCTCCACCTCTCGCCTGCCATTTTGGCTTTCAGTGTGTCTTTGGGATATACCATATTTAGAAAAAAAATCATATCACTTTTTTTGTCCTAATATTTCTTTCATCGAAACATAAAGCTTTGACCTTGTAATTTTCAATGTTTCATTGCAATTTTACTAACATTTGGGCTCTGGCAGAATCCTGCTGTCTTCCTTGCAATAAAATGACTTTAAAAGAACTTTCCAACCCACACTTTATTTGGTGATCACAGAAGATGACGGCTTTAAAATATCTCTAATCAATCTACAAAGCACTCTTGAGAATTTCAATTAACTATCTGAATTCTTTGCATGCAGAAATTTGTAGGAGTTTATGGACATTTTCCTTCCATTGTTTTCTATCAAATTATTCCCAGTTTATTAATTTGCAATCTGTATTCACAGTAAGTATTAAAAAAAATAAAAACAAAAAACTCAAAGGCAGAAACTTCAAATAAAGCCATCATGTAAAAACTTATTTCAGCTCAAAGAAACTTCCATTGGAAATACTCCTATCTTGTTATTTCTTTAAAAGTCTCTTTCTCCTCCAACATCTAATGGAATGGTTCCATTTTGCAAATAAAAGAAGACATTTCAGTATGCAGGCTGATTTAAAAATGAACATTCCATTTTGCATGAATGAAGAAAAATGAGATTAACAAAGAAATGGTAATAGATTGTGACAGAATGCTTTCCCCTTACCTCCTTCAGACACAAAATCTGAGTTAACAAATGCCTCAGTTCAAACCCATGGCAATGCATCCAAACTATTTCAGTGTCTCTTTGGCTCTTTAGTGGTTTCTAAAAGGATCTATCAATAAGGGAAATTTATGTTCTAATTTCTTCTACCCCAGAATACCAAATCTTTCCTAAGGTCATGATTTCTTTAAGTCACAATGAGATGATAGTAGATGCTGATAAAAAGAGATTAACTACAGAGGAAAAGGTCAGGTGCTCATCACATGAAAGTAGTAGTATATTTTTAATGTCCCCTGGTTATGAGCATTGTGGTTTCACATGCTCATGGGAGGCAGTATGGGGTAATAAAGGGGCTTTTCAAACTTTTTAAAAAACAATCTATGGTAAGAATTCTGTTTTTGTATTGTGGTCCAATACACACAAACGTATTAAGTTTATGAAGCAGTGCCTATCCTTAATATGTACTACTGCTAATATTTCCTACTCTTTTTTTTAAATGCTTGTTGAGACCCATAGACTGGAGTGTGAATTGCTAACTGTGACCTTGGACAAGTAAATAAATAACAGTTATTTACCTGCTCTGTGTCTCAGATTTTTCATTCCAAGTTTATGAGACTAATTGGAGTAACATATGTGAAGTTCTTGACACATTGTGAACTCTCAATATATGTGAATTCCCTCCCATCCACACCACTTCCTTTACTTTATATAAAGTCTATCCTCATATTATGTTGACCAAAACCAAAAATTAAGTGCATCAAAAAATTGAAATTAACTTACAGACAAATTGTGATAGATGACTTTAGTAATGGCTCCTAATATACCACATGTCCCTGTAACCACGATCCTGTGTGGTCCCCTTCCACACTGAGTGTGGCCTTGCCCATGTGAGTTGTTTGAACAATGGTACACTACACCTGTCATACAGGGTCCCTATGAGTCAGAACTGCCTCGACGGCACACATCAACAACATAACAAGCTCACCATAAATTTAAAAAGAAGCTTCATTACTGATCAACTTACAAACGGAAGCAGATAAAAGCAAGCAATTTTAACAACATGGGCCATAACAGATACTTCACAAGGAATTTGGGCAATAAGATACTCATATAGGATTCAAGCAAAGATAAATAAAAGCACTTTAAAATTAAGTAGCTTCAAGACCTACAAAATTTGACTATAACTTGATCAAATTAATAGATGAAAAGAAAATCTTATTTACTGATTCAATAAAAAGTTAACATCTCTTGAAAATTTAATTTCTGTAGTAGAATCTACTTTCCTCTTCATTTAGACTTAACTTTATGAGGTGATATTTTGTTCTGTTGCTTAACATTTATGACCAATTGTTTTTATAAAATTAAAGAATTTTGGACTTGAAAGAGACATTAAAGTCATCAGGAGCAAAAAATCACCCAAAGCAGAAATCTAGTCTATACTCAGCTTGACAAGGGGCTTAGCTAGTAGCTGCTTGAACAGTTCTAGTGGCCAGGAACTCATTACTGTACCAACAAAACAGTCACTTTGGTTTCAGGTGGCGCTAATAGTTAAAAAGCTCTTGCGTATACTGAGACCAAAATATAACTGTGGCTATACCTGTGATCCATTCGTCCTTTCTTTTTCTGTCCTATGGCCCTACACAGATTAAATTTACTCCCAGTTGTACATGACAGCTCTTCCAGTATTTGAAAATAGTGATAACATTCCCCAAGTTAAACCCCAGATGTAACAGCTCCTCTAATAAAACCGTCAGAAAACCCCTTATTAGCATGGGCTGGCCTCCAAATGCAATCAGATAGCCAATGAACCTCTTAGAATATGGAAATGAGAAGTGATCAAAATGTGCTAGATATGGTCTGATACTATAAAGTACCATTAATTTCCTTGTTTTGGAAAATAATGCTATCTATGATTACATCAGCTTTTTCACCAGTCACAACACAGCAGTGATTTCATTTAGCCTCCAGTCAGCTAAAACTTCAAGAGCTTTACTAAACTCGTATGAAGTGTACAACCTGTATTTTTCAAGCAGACTTTTTAATACAAGTGTAGGATTTAAACTTGTCTCTAATTTTCATCTTTTTACTTTCATCCCATCATGCTACCCTATGGAGATGTTTTTTAATGCTGATTATTTTAGACACTTTTCTCAACCTCTTTGCCATCATTCAAACTACTGATAAAGTCAGTAAATTCAGTCACCATTGAGTCGATTCCAACTCATGGCAACCCCACGTGTCAGGGTAGAACTGTGAGCTCCATGGGGTTTTTAACAGCTGTAATCTTTCAGAAGTAGATTACCAGGACTTTCTTCCAAGGTGCCTCTGGGTAGGTTTCAATCGCCAACCTTTCATTCCGTACGTAACCAAGCGCATAACAATTTGCGCCACCCAGGCAGTCCTAAACTAATGAGAAGTTGAACAGAAAAGGGACAGATCCAGCCCAGTGGATCACCATTAGTGACTGCCGAGAGGGCTCATCTCACCATTGGCCTTTTCAACATGCATTTCTCCATGTCATCTGAAAACCATACCGCTTTCTGCTTTTACTTTTTCAATGTAAAATTATGAACCACTATCACAAATGCATTGGGTTTCTGGCAAAGAGCTTCCTGGTTTGATGGGAAAAGCAATGTACTCTGAGAGTCTGCTAACTTTTGGTATATAAAGGTTGATTTTAAACAGAAAATAATGTTTTCTAGACATTATGTTACTTAATCATCAAACTAATCTCATAAGGGAGATATTATCACTTTTATTTTATAGCTGGGAAAACTCGATAGGACTAAAACTGTAGGTTCTTGGAAGTTAGAAGGCCTTCATTTGAATTCTGATTCTGCCCAATATTAGCTATACAACTGTGAGCAAAAACTACTTAACATCTGTTAGTGATCCTTCCTCATAAGATTTTCAAGAACAATAAATGAAATGATACATATAAGTCATGTAACACAGTACCTGGAAAACAGTAAGGTCTCAGTAAGTATTATCTATAATTATTATAGCCCAAGATAAAAGAGTCAGTAAGTGGCAAAGGCTGGACTTGAAGAAGGATTTGTCTGACTCCAAAGCCACTAAAAATATGTATAGTCAGGGACACACAGAACTGATTTTTTTTCCTCTAGCAAATACAATTTATCTTCCTGACCACACTCTTTGATGTAACAAAAATTAACTAAATAAATAGGATTTTGAGACTAATAAAAGGAACAACGCAATCAAAGACATGACCCAGTTAGATTTTATAGTGTCAACTTAAAGACAAAAACCAGGCGAAGAACTAGGTCACAGGCAAGATGAGTTACAAGGCAGACAAGAGGTAATTCAAGGCAGGGCATTTGTGAGTCAGCAGTGAATTCATACACTGTCATGGATTTGAGGGCAGATGCCAAATAGCATTTTCATTGTGATGCATTGTGTGTATTGCCCTGGTTCTCAGTACCTCTCGGAGCTTCCTGGGCCCTAGACTGTCTCCTACATTTTCACAGGTAAAGACTACATTCAAGAAGCTAAAATATTAGTTAACATTACAAATCATTAACAGAACACATCAATATCCTTGAGGACATAAACACAAGAGAAGACATAATTGTCAATTATATGGTTTTTTTGGTAGAAAAAAACACAAATTTTTCTCATGCTGAAGCAAAGCTGAGGAGTTCATATAAAAAACATGCTATTTGGAATAAAAGACAACAAAATATACATCTTGAACAAGGTTAAGTTAAGAGAGAGGGACAGATCATAATTTTTGCTATCTTCATTATTAGATTCAGAAAATAAAGAGAAATAAGGACCAAAATTTCAAGACGCATTCTTCTCTGCATCAGTTATCAATCAGTCTAAATTGTATTTAATCATTAAGCTTTCTTTAAAAATATGTCACAGAAAGAACACAGATATACCACAAGTCCTTCACAAAATATACTTTCCAAAGAATAACTCTCAGCTACATATTCTGGAAGCATTCACTCATCTATGCCAAGAAATTTGGAAGACAGCTACCTGGCCAACCAACTAGAAGAGATTCATATTGATGCTTATTCCAAAGAAAGGTGATCCAACCGAACGCAGAAATTATCTAACGATATTATTAATAGCACACACAAGTAAAATTTTGCTGAAGATCATTCAAAACTTTTTGCAGTAGTACATCAACAGGGAACTGCCAGAAATTCAAGCCTGATTCAGAAGAGGC